CGGCTATGAACGCCAAAACAAAACTCGGTATGGGTCTAAAAACGAAGAAAAAGAATTCAACGAAGAAACAGAAAACAGCGGAGAAACGAATACTTCCGGTGGTGAAACGTGGCGGTATCCTACCGATCCTGCCGTTACTGGGAGTTATCGGTTCATTAGCCGGTGGAGCGGCGGGAGTCGCAAAGGCTGTGAATGATAACAAGGCTGCGCAGCGTCAGCTGGAAGAACTGCAGCGTCATAATCATGCCATGGAAGGTCGTGGAATTTATCTCGCTCCGTACAAACGTGGACGTGGAGTTTCGAAGAGAAAAAAAACGTCAAAAAGACGTTAAAAATCCCAAAAGGTGCAACTACCGACGTACAATTACAACAACTTGCAAAACTTATGCACATTCCATATTTTAGAGGTATTTTTATGCGTACTAGCCTACCAACGGGAGGAGTGCATCGAAACGAGAGTGGAATAGCAAATTTGGACGATGTCGAGGGACCGGGTACTCACTGGGTGGCGTATGCGATGAGAGGAGATTGCGTTATATATTTCGACAGTTTTGGTAATCTTCGACCGCCGAGAGAATTGGTGCGATATCTAATAAACGATGTGACACGAATCGAGTACAATCGCACGCCTTACCAGCGTTACGATCAGAGCAATTGTGGACAACTTTGTCTGCAGTTTCTACAAAAAGTCGATGATCAATTTAAATGCTAGCGTTGCACATTTGAACTCAGTCTCAAACATGTCGCTAACGTTTACACTCACCGGCAAGAGTAGCATCCTCTCGGTAAGCTACTCTCCAGCTGTTGATTTGAACGATGGTGATTACGAACTCGGTCTGACAGATTTTGAAACGTATTACACGGTCCCAAATGTAAATTCATCGAACAATAAATTCTACTATGACGACAAGAAGATTGTCATTCCCGAAGGATCGTACGAATTGCGCGACATTGGCACGTATCTCAAACGCACGCTTTTACATTCTCGTTCCAAAAATGTGAGGAAAAAAGGGTAAATGTTCACTATAGGGGAGTCAGCCCCGATGACCTTGACCTTGACAATGTTGTCAAGGTTACCCTCCTGAGTAACGCTCAGAAGGTTTTAGCCGTCGCTCGTTGTTTGTTAAAAAGTTATTAAAAAAACTATGTCGACCAATTATATGTAATTTTCAGACACAAATATTAAAAATTTTGAAAAATGTTTTAAACAAATGTTGTAGATCTCTTTGAAATATACATTTTATGTCCTATTCATTTTTACTGTGCGAGTAATAGTTTTCGAAAAAAATGATGAACTCTATATCTTATATCTCTCCTCCCATCTCCATCTGTCGTACGTCATGGAAGTACATGCATGGAGGCAGGACGTTCCGCCCCCCCTACGGGGGGCTCCACCTTGTTAAAATATAACCCTACCCACACTATGTCCGAGGTGTGGTGCGGATCTCGCTTCACGTGGAAAGTCGCAAACCCATGTGGAAGAGTACAACGACGGAAGTACATGCATGGAGACAGTATGTTCCGCCCCCCCTACGGGGGGGCTCCACTTCGTTAAAAATAACCCTACCCACCCTATGTCAGAGGTGTGGAGTGGATCTCGCTTCACGTGAAAAGTCGGGCAGGGCGGGGGCGGGAGGGGGTGGGGCGCGCGCAGCGCGCCGTGCTAATCGCGCTTGCAACTTACGTGTTCAAGTCCATCATTTTTCTCGAAAACTATCACTCGTACAGTAAAAATAAATAGGACGTAAAATGCATATTTCAAAGAGATCTGCAACTTTTGTTTCAAACATTTTTCAAAATTTTTAATATTTGTGTCTGAAAATTACATATAATAGGTTGACATTGTTTTTTTAATAACTTTTTAACAAACAACGAGCGACGGCTAAAACCTTCTGAGCGTTACTCAGGAGGGTAACCTTGACAACATATGTCAAGGTCAAGGTTATCGGAGCTGACTCCCCTATAGTGAACATTTACCGAAAAAAGACATCGGGGAAGATGACGATGACGAGTACCCATTGACGATTCGAGCTAACAACAATACGATGAAAAGCGAAATCAAGTGTGCTCACAGGATAAATTTTACAAAACCTAACAATATTGGATCGTTGTTGGGATTTTCAACGAATCGTATTCTAGAGCCGCGACAGTGGCATGAATCGGACGTATCAATAAATATTATTAACGTAAACATTATTCGCATAGAGTGAATGTGACCGCAGGTGCGTACAGCAACGACAAGCGCGTGCATACGATACACGAGTTTTCGCCGAGCGTTCCGCCAGGATATAAGATATCGGAAATACCTGCACAGATCATTTATCTTCCGATCGTCGTACGAAGCATTACGGATCTGACGATTCGTATTGTGGATCAGAACGGTCAACTGCTCGATTTTCGCGGGGAAGAGATCACCGTCAGATTACATGTGTGGATGCGGCAACGATAACGGGAGATGCTAGTGTTGAATGAAGTGGAACAGGCGAAAAGTTTTATCAAAGGAAAACAAATCCCACCGTTCGATAAAAAGAAACTCACTGCGTCGAACATTGAATTTTTGAAATCATTAGGCTTCAAAGTACGAACTGATATCTTGAATATTGGACGCGAGCCGATCTTTGACAATAGCATTGTCAAAATTGAGACTCATACATACAATCCGTATGCCAATACGACGTTTGGGCATAGCGATGAGATACGGATACCCATACAACAACAGGATTTGTACACGTTACCGTGTGAAAGCTTACTCTACATCGAAGGAAAATTGAAGAAGAAGAACAATGATGCGGAGAATTTTCTCGCAAATAATTGCGTGGCATTTATGTTTGACGAAATTCGATACGAACTCAACGGTGTGAAGATTGATCGCATCAGAAACGCTGGAATAACCAGCACTATCAAGAGTTATGTATCGCTAACGTTTGACAAATCGTAGATCTTGCGAAATGCAGGATGGGACACTTTATCAACCATACCGGAAGGAGACTTTAATTTTTGCGTACCGCTCAACATGTTTTTAGGCTTTTGCGAGAATTACAAACGTGTGGTTATTAACGCTCGTCATGAATTGATTTTGATACGAGCGCGCACTGACAACAATTCTATCAAGGAAGATTCGAAGACGGAACCTGAAATTGAACTACTTAAAGTACAGTGGCGAATGCCACACGTTATGTTGAATGAGGCCAATAAACTATCTTTGCTGCGAGCTTTGGAAAGCGGACGATATCTGAGTATGAGTTTCCGATCATGGGAACTGTACGAGTACCCGCTATTGCAGAGCACAACCCGACATTCATGGGCAATCAAATCTGCGACTCAGTTAGAGAAACCGCGATATGTTATCTTTGCTCTGCAGACTGGCCGAAAGAATATCATGTCTGAAGATGCGAGCGTATTCGATGACTGTAATCTGACCAACGTGAAACTTTATCTCAACTCTGAATTTTATCCATATGATGACCCAAATTTAGACTTCAAAAAAAATAAATACGCTATACTTTTTGACATGTATGCACGTTTTCGTAAAGCTTATTATGGATACGACTGCTATGAAACGCTTTGCAACGTAACCACATTTTTGACGAATGGACCTTTCGTAGTCATCGATTGCGCGCGACAGAACGAGTCTATCAAGAGCGCTACTGTGGATGTGCGCATAGAATTTGATTGCAAGGAGAATGTGCCTGCAAATACTACTGCCTACTGTCTCATCTTGCACGATCGTGTCATCGAATACTGCCCATTGTCCAATGTAGTGCGCAAAATCATGTAAATTGCAATGTCGCCAGTATTCCAATATAAGAAAGATTCATGTTTCGTGATGAGATGCAGTCTCAAAGGTGTTGTCATGACTACACCAACGTTTGTCGATCTGCAAGGTTTCATCGTTGGCAAAAACTCCTTCGTTGTGAAGGAGTTTGCCGCTCTCAGAAAAGGACATATTCTCTCTCATTATATCTTCAAAAGCCCCAAGCCATGGAATTTTCTCAGCAAAGCGGATAAGCAGCGCATATCCTTGGTGACGGTCAACCATCACGGATTGCAATGGGACGATGGAACGGTTCGATACTTCACTGCTAAAGACCTGATTACAAAAGCGTTGAGGACGGTGACGGAGAATGAAACATTGCCCATCGTTTACGTAAAGGGGCTTGAAAAACGAGAATGGTTGCGGGATTTGCTTCAGGACGACGCGAGAGAGGATGTCTACGTCGAGAGCATCGACGAGCACTACGAAGACGTGGAATCGTTGAGAAAGATGGACGCTACACATACTTTACGTTGCCACAAACATGTATCGAATTGCGCTTTGCAAAATGTATTTAAACTGTTCAATTGGTGGCACTGTCATAAAAAATAAAATGTATATTATCTATATTATATATCGATTTTTTTTCTTATTCCCTTCCTGCTGAAACACTCCTCACAAACATTTTTTATCCATTCTTTATTCCTATCCTCTTCGATCTCATAAAATTAAACTTCAATCGAAGATCAGCGTCTTTTAACTATTGTAACTAGAGAAGGATGAATAAAGAGAATCTTAGGTTTTAATAATTTTAAATGCTCTTATTTCCCCCATCATCTCCTATCGACATCAGTTGTCCTTCGAGCTTTACATTTAAGAACTTTGTCCGCAACGACATTGCATGGTTTGCATTTTTACACGCGTGCGATGAGATCTTCACGGTCATAGCGTGCGTCTCTCCTCTCTCCGCAGACCCAGCTAGGGCGAGAGAGAGAGAGAACGACAGCGTCGACCGTAACGGGTAATGATAAGAAAGTCACTGTCAATAGCCAGGTTTCGGCGCTTGACCCCGTGACTCATAACATGGAAAAATAAGAATACGCGTCCTGGTGTTCGCGCTAATCAAAGGCATCCCGGTGATATCTATTACATGCACGCGCCTCCGCGCCGGGGATCGCGTAGCATCGCGGTCCTCCTCCCTGTGCACCGCGGATTCATTCACCTTGATATGAACCGCGGATTCATTCACCTTAATATGAAAGTCGCTATCAGCAGCCAGGTTTCGGCGCTTGACCCCGCGACTCATAACATGGCCAATAAGAATACGCGTCCAGGTATTCGCGCTAAAAAGTACCGAAACGAGTGACAGGTCAGCACCTAGATATCTGTTACATGTCACGTAGTGACAGGTCAGCACCTTGCGTGATGTCAGGGTCACTCGCCTTGGAGTACCCCTCCCCGCTCCCCCTCGCCACGAAGTACCCCCTCCCCGCTCCCCCTCGCCATGGAGTACCCCCTCCCCGCCCCGCTCCCCTCGCCACGGAGTACCTCCCCGCCCCGCTCCCCCCTCGGAGCTCCCGGGTTTAGAATACCCTAGTACCCCCTACTCAAGCTATACAGTTCTTCGACGCATTTGTCATGAGGGCTCGGTTGGATGAGCAAGCGCGTTTCTTTTTTAGCGGGATTTCATTTGCGTTCCTCTCTGCGTCCGCGACTTTAGCCCTCTCGCGTTTCGACGCGCAAACCGCGGTTTTGTAGAGAAACTCGTACATTTGTTCAAGCGATGGGAATGCGTCTCGTTCGAGCGTCGCCTCCCATTTCTCTAATGTAACTTTCGGTAACTTATTTTCTAATAAATGGACGATCATTTCAGACCCGACTGAAACACCCATAGAATTCAATGACGCGACGTGCTGTTGTGTGTCGTCTGCTAACTTGGTTAAACCGCTGGTTGTTTCCCTGTCTAGTGTGGGTAGATTACATATTAGAGCGAGATGCCGCGAGATCAGTATCCGCTTTACCTCATACGCGCGTCCCAACACATCCCATGCCTTGGAATAATTTATTCCATCAACCGTAAAGATTTTTAATTTGTTAGCCGCTTCCCCTTTCAATGCCGCTTGGAGGTAATGCAACTTATCTATATCATCTGACGATAAATCTGACTGAGAATCTATCACGTTACGAAAGGCATTTTTAAACGATAGCCAACTCTCAAAATTACCGTCAAACGTTGGTAACGGGGCTTCCGGCAATTTAATTCGTCTTTGTTTATTGATCGTGATCGTGCTATCGGTTCGAGATCTTTCGTTCGATATGGTATCGCCAAGTTCCGATTGATTCGCCGCATTTAACACGTTTTCAATTTTTCCGGCAAGCGCGTAAAATCGTTCTTGAATGCTCACAAATTCGGTTTGATGCGCGTCATTAGGATCTAACGCTAATAGTTGATCGTTGTGCTCCTCGAACGCGTGATACAAAACGGTCAAGCGAGCACTTCGCAATCTTAAAGTGGCATTCTCCAACCCGCCCTTGTCGAGGAGGTTCGCGAGGTTCGTGATTTGGGAATTCAACGAGGCTCGCTTCTGTATCAGAAGCCTGATTTTACTAGCCATTGTTGCGTGAGATGATTTTGGATCCGAACGACTTACGATAGATGTCGATATTGGGCGGATGCCGTCTACTTCCTTTGATTCTGGATTGACGCTTTGTTTCTGCTGTTGCACAGTTGATCCTTGCCGCAGCACGTCGCAAACCGGGTGGCCTCGGGCAGCACACACCTCACAGGAGGCACCAAAATGTTTTGTGGAAATTTCAGTATGAACGTTTTGAGGTGCACACTGTCCTTGTTTTATTTCTCACTCACTATCCGCCACCTTATACAGTATATTTGGTAACCATACATGTGTCCGTTTCTCTGATTGTCGCTCTCGATAACTTCGATCACGCACGACGACGCCTTGGGGATAACGTCCCTGAGTCGTGATACGACACCCGTTTACGCACGACGACGCCTTGGGGATAACGTCCCTGAGTCGTGATACGACACCCGTTTACACACGACGACGCCTTGAGGACGGTATCCCTGGGTCGTGACGGGAGGCCGGTATGTCTTGCGCTTGGGGAACGATGCCCTGAGTCTTCATAGAAGATTCGGACACGATCACGCTTTGAACGTCGAGACAAGACTGACCGGGAGCGGATGGATCGGTCCCATATATATTCTTCGGGAAAACGCTCACGATTGGCGCGCGATGATCAGTCGCGCCGCCAGCCGAGCCGCGCTTCCTTCATCCGACCACGAATGAAACATAAAAAGGTCGCGCCGCCAACCGAGCCGCGCTTCTTTTGTCTGACAGCGAATGAAACGTAAAAAGGTCGCGCCGCCAACCGAGCCGCGCTTCTTTTGTCTGACAGCGAATGAAACGTAAAAAGCCGGCGAGTCGAAAAAATGCT